AGGCGCAGACGAGAAAAATTGCCGCGCCGCCGCGCGGCACCCCCCAACCCACTTAGCACCCATGCACATAGCCTTAAGTGTGACAGGTATCAAAAAATCACTAATTAAAAAAGAGCGCATTGGAATGGACAGGATCAATCAGTACCCCGGCACAATACGAGTTTCAAAAGTCAAAATTTGAATAGATAACCAGTACAGTAGGGATATCAGCAGAATAAAGGCATACAAGTAAAATTCGAGCCTCGGTTAGCACTCGGTGCCCAATAGAGCGGCAGCAGAATCTTGCACAGAATCAAAATCTAGTGTCAGCACAGAATCTCGCAGAAGAGAACAGTCATCAGATCAGAATCGTCGCAGAATAGTGTAGGAAGTAGAAAAACAATAGGGATGGTTGCATTGATCGGCGTTGAGAGATAGCTGTCCCGCAATGAATTGCTTGATTTTACGTTAGACAGTTGTCGCAAAAAGTTGACAAATGTCGCGCGCAACTCGTTCGTCAACTTTTCGAGGTGTAGATTTAGCTGCGAGTGTGGATTGGTGCTCGTATAGTTCTGGCGACCTCTCTTCAAGCTGAATTTAGTCCTAACATAAGATTCTGTAAAAAGCGAGATGGTCCAAATCCTCCGCTAAGTGGTATTTGATGACTTTCAACAACTAGTAACCACAATATGTATGAAATTTTTCTCTGATATCTGCAGTACAGATTGCATTTGTTGGAGGCTATTTTCTACACTCCAAACACTTCAATTTCTACTGCCTTCTCCATTTATTTACTTTTCAAACACTTAATGATGGTATGGGAGGAGCACGATATTATCAGTTTTCGCATTTAATCAAAGTTGCTCTATACTGCGGTGCTCGATGAACTGGATGCTCGGTTAAAGATTTCTAAATGCATTTCGGAGAGCATTCTAACCATTTCCTATTTCCTTGAGCGTTCTCAGGGTATATTTCCTTTCCAATTTCTTACAGTGCCTTACCGGGGCATGTATTCACACTCTATTCGATTCCTTTTCAGTAATCGAAAAACCCGAACTTCGAATAACAATCAAATTTTGGCCAGACGGTACTCGAGATATAAATACTCTTCTTCAGCGTCACATCTCTTACCCACGGCAAAAACAAACATTTCCTTTGGGGAAACTCTCCCCTTCCCTACCTTGGGCGTTATGCATACGGCCCGATTTCATGGCCGATGCTCAATATCGGTCGGCATATGGCTGCACTGCGAAGTGGGAGCTTGATTTAATTGCGTTAATGAGGAAGGGAACCGGTAATTAGGGTAACCGAAGAAGTGTGATGTTTGAAGGTCTTCAAGGCGTGCGACAGTCCCAAATGGCTCTCAAACGATTGTTCTTTAGACCCTTGATAGTTACTTGCATACTATTTTTGCTGAGTTTGCATACTGTTATCCGAAGCATTGGGAGAGCTGACACACGTTAATGGGTCTGGAAAAGCAACTGGCCATCCAGGTTTTCCAGCCGCACATAATTGATATTTAGGGGAGAAAGCGGTTACTGGTGTTGCCAAGAATGCAATGACTGCTACAATAGAAAGAGGGGTGCTGCACTGGCGATTCAGTGGCTTTATATTAATAAATGCGGTGATTACGGAGTGAGAATACAACAAATGGAATAATACGTGCGGTCGCTACCGCTATGAATGCACAGAAGGAAAGATAGTAAATAAGTATTCATCTAACTGACACAAAACCCACGTGCTGCCTTTGCTGTTGTTTTGGGTAGAATGAGGGACCCACTTATCTCGGGGCCGCTTGACCCCGCACCTTTTGGGGGCGTGGGTTGAGCTAGAGGGAGTCGTCTCAGACAGTGAGACGACGAGATAGTCTAGGGACGACGATACTCCGCCGGCAACGAAGTTTACAATTCAGTGAGGATTTAAATGGGCATATATACATAACAGTATGATGAAATATATCTACACGACGGCTCGATAGTTGTTTCTTGATGAATGAATGTGGCTGCGTCGTAGTTGCTAGGAGAGTTCACGGGCTTCTGGCAATTGAGACGAAGGGGAGATCATTGTGAAACAAAGATAATAGTACTAACATGAGGAAATCGTCACGAGTTCGGAGAAGATGAATGAGTAAAGCGCCGTTCCTTGGCAATCTGTTACCTGTGAGCCTTTCGGCGTTTATCTGAGAGTCGTTAATGATCAAGTCGACGAAGTTTGTTGCGGTTACACACGTTTGAAACAATTACTATAAAGGTCGGATAGCTTATTAACGTCAAACCTAATAGGAGTCGAATGGTACTGCTCTAAATTTGGGGTTATCCCTCGTTGGGGTTTGGGTCGACTTGGGCGGTGGAAGTAGCTGTCTCATTCAATTATCATATTTAATTTTTTGATTTATCAGTCATATTAGCGTCATATATAGCGTATGCATAAGTAATGCTTATAGCGTTCAAAACATGTTTGAAGAAATAGTAATTGCAAGCAATCAGTTGGAGTGGATTATGATCCAAGTCTGTTTTAGTAACCCGTCATTTTTTGAGTGTGTAATTTGGAGAACAGCAATACAACAGTCGACCAAGATTAAACATGCCAGTGTCTCGAAGATAACCCACTACGAGGCCTCAGCCCTCCAGACACGGGTGTGTTCACCATCGAACTCAATCTCTTTAATCTGTTTACGAACCTAAGGAGCTAGCTCGAGGGTGCCGCAAGAATAACTAGCTGGTTTTTGGATATTCGAATTGCTTTATCAATTGCTGGTAACTCAGTGTGTAGCTAAAATGTGGTTGGCGGGGGTTAAACAGCTTTTGAACACTTCTTCACCGAACAACATTGTAAGTCGTTGCCATAGTAGGCTAAACTTGACAGATTAGCAATAATAAGTCTCGTTGAGTATGACTTTTTGCCTTTGTTTTTCGACTGATAAATCATAAATATGATTATTATTAAGGTACGGGTCCACGTGGGGAGTTGTTGTTATTGTCTCGTTTGCTTGCTGACCCGTTGAGCTTTGCCAATACTGTAAGGGATAGATCGGTACAGTTTCCCCCATCTGTACGTTTAAGGAGCCCATAATTGATTGTATTATCTTTTGCATGACGAACGAAACCACCATTGGGTCTGCCATATGAGTCACAGCAATGAGACAAAGTGTAGTGGTGAGGACAGGACACTGTCTGTGGTTCCCTAAGGAACCTTTATAATTGCTTTGTGCGTGGGTTGAACTTCGTCGACCTGAAATTTTCTCGAGCGATCTATTGATACTCGTTTGGTTTTGTAAAGGTGGTTTCATATCGCACAGGCGAAGTCGATACCTGCTACTGCGCATTGACCCCTTAGACATTTTTGGTCTTTTTTCCACAATATTTCCGCAATAGTCGGCGAGAGCTTTTCCTACTTTACTTTTACTTAGTGAACTCAGCATGTTGTTTGCTGCCACGTTGTTATCGGGCGTCAGGCAGGTCTACATAGTAGGTGTCCACAGTAGCCGTCATCTCGTAGAATGTCTTGGGTTTGGTAGCTTCGCCTACAAGTAATCCTTTACCATACAAAGTAGGCCCATATAGAGGGTTGGCCATAAATATAGCGACAAGGTTTTAACCTTATATCTCAGGAAGCAAAAGTGCAAACGAGTCATGAACATAACATTTATTAAGTAACAACTGATACATTAACAATCATAAGTTACTTCTCGATTCGGCCACCTTTGGCACGGACGACAGCGCGGAGTCGCTTGGGAAAGGCGTCGATGACCGTACGCAGGAGTGCGTCGTCGATTCCATCCCATTCTCGGATGAGCGCTGCCTTCAGAGAATCCAAATTGGGGTGGGGAGTGGCGCAGGCGTTGCTCTCAAGGTAGGACCACAAGTTGTAGTCCAGTGGGATGGCCGAGATGAAGTCGGGACGTTCACTCTTGCACCACGCTTGGACGACCTGGCCTTGTGGGCGGGCGCGGAATATTGCTGTAATGTCCACATGCCGTCGTTGAAGTGGGAATTCGTCCACGGGAGTAGAGCATCTTCCAGAATCGTCTTCAGGTAGTAATCTTTGTCGATTTTGACGCCGGGGTCGACGAACATCAACGGCGTCTTTCCCGAGACACACACCCCTGCCCAAACCATGACTTGGGCAGGATGTGCAGCCCGGCGAACGACTTTTCCCTTCTTGTCGGCTTCCTCGGCAGTCCTTGCGGTCACTCTGACGTTCTGAGCGTTGAACTGCTGTTCGGCGGTGAAGAGCTTCTCATCCGGAAAGACGATCAATGGTGGCCCTTGTTGCGCGTCCGAAGCTAAAGCTGTCGGCACTTCTTGACTCGCGCTGCTGATTCGAGGCGCTGAGGATAGCAGCCTTCCGAGTGCGGTGGGGGTACATCTTAAGGTCTTCGTGGACGACCCTTTCCACTGACTTCCGCGATTCCCATGTCGCGAGCCATCGTCGAGACGCTCCCAGTCGCGTTTCCCGCTATCCGCTTTCTGACGGCCTCGACGACCTTCGGTGTGCGAGCAATACGAGGTATTCCACTTCTTGGGCGGCCTTGGAGCTCACCAAGGTCTCCATAACCTTGGAATGTGCGATACACGTCGCTGCGGTGGATGCCGAGGTGCTTAGCGATCGTGGCGGGTGGGCGGCAGGCCTTGTGCAGACGAACGATAGCGGGACGATCAGAAGAAGGCTTCACCATTCCGCTATGAATGGACCAAATTTAGCCAAATTTTAGCAGGAGTTAGAAAAAAATGATGAGATTGAAAATTCCATAAGACTGGTGCGCTACGTGCGCGATAGAATGTACGCTAACTGCAGCAAGTCTTGTCGCTATAATTATGGCCAACCCTGAGTGTTCGCAACATGAAGGCCTGAATGAGTTCTTGTCGTGGAATTTTGACTCAATATGAGTTCATAGTAAAGGTCTATCCCTACCAAAATTTAGGGGTGTTGATGTTCCCTCTGGGCCTCGAGTTTGCCAGGAAGACGTTGTTTTCTTTCAAAAAATCAGTGTCCATACTAGTTAGCTTGGCGCTAGGAAATCCGTTCATGTGCCTTGGTTTCGTTTGAATCATCAAGTCGAGTTCGTCTCCAAACGTAGTGCCTACTTTTGCAGCCACTAAATGACTTTGAGAACTGTCAGTATGTCCACCAATACCCGACAATGTGCATGTTTCGGTTGCGGACTTAGGAAGATTGAACCGTTCAGCAATTCCCTCTTCTATGACTTTCTTTTGGGCCCATAGTCGAAAAAGAAGAGTACTTTTTTGTACTTCTGCTTTCTGTAATTCCATAAGTTTCCATCGGCAGTCATTAGGACAAACTGAGATCTTTTGCACCCTTGTTCTACATTTGGGGTTGATACGGCTCCCTTCCTCATATGAGCATGGGCATTACATAGGTTTCCGCTCTTGTAGAGCCCATACCGATTTCCTTGACCGTTATCAGCGCTGCTCCGCTGATTGGACTGAGGCATAAATGGCTCAGCTCTGTGATTCTATGGTGTAGGATTAGGGGTATTACGATCCAGTCTCGAATTCCGTTGACTTGTAGAAATATTCTTCCCCGTACTCATGCTCTTGACGCATAACGATATGTGGTGCTTTTGACCACATAGGGAATCTGCTCTTTGGCAGTCAAAGCTGGTATGACTTGAGAAACAGCACTTCCAGCACCTGTTCTCAACTTTTAGAACTTTTCGGAGACAACTTTGATCAGTTATCGCCCCACAGCTTAACCCTTTGACGAACATGGCACCCGCCGGCGGGTGCCATGGTCGTCAAAGGGTTGAGCTTTGGGGCGATAACTGATCAACCGTCGCACTGCGTTTTCACTTGCGTGGCATGCGCTCTAGCAAAGCATAATTCGATACTAAAGAGTTAGTGTAGTACGCATTTCTACTGCGAACATTATTTTCAGAATTTATCCCACATTGCTTCAAAACTCCATTTTCATGCCCCACCTAATTATAATGGATGAAATAATATTTTGATACTTCTATTTCAAGCGAAATATTGCTAAACTTATAGAGCCAGAGGAAGGAGTTCCTCCTGGGACCATGGCACCCACAGGTGGGTGCCAGTCGCGCACGAAAGGAAAGGGGCGTGGTCTCATGGGCGCTTCAGGTCGAATTCGGCATTGTCGTCAAAGGACTAATGATGAGTGGTTATTCCTGTTGCAGAAATTACACTTATCGCTGTTTTGAGGTCGTGAACGATCACTCATATCAGCCCGGTTGGGTTCGCTAGGGTGGCCTAATCTTCACTCAACATATTATTTTGCACTAATCTCTCCCTTTATTTGGGCCATCAAATCCTCAATTGTTTGTTGGTCTTTAGATTGACCATTCTACTATATATAATTCGCTAAGTGTGTCTGTTGGTTTGTCGGTGTGTTTGTGTGTGTGTTTGTTTGTGTGTGTCGGTGTGTGTGTCTGACCGGAAATTCATAACTCCGGTCCCCGTCTACCTAGAGCGTTCGAACTTGGTAGGAGTGCGGGGGCAGGATGGGAACACTAATGGTGGGCGGCAGGACCGGACTCCAAGCCCAGGGGGCGGGGCGTGCGCAACAGAAATTTTGGGCCGCAAATTCATAACTCCTGTCCCCGTGGACCAAGAGCGTTGAAATTTGGTGGGATTACACTTTTCGTACTAACAGTGGAAACTCAGCATTTCAATAAGCGATGTAGGTTATGAGGGGATCGGTGACAAGAACTGACCATAACTGATAAGAACAGATAAGGAACCTAAGAGAGGCCACCTACCCATCAAGATCCCAAGTTTTCGGTATCTACGATGTAGCTTTGACCGTTCAGTCTGTTTCATTCGATAAGGTGGGATGGTAGAGCAGGGTGACAAAAGTGAGTGGTAAGTGCAGTGATAGGGACCCATTAGGGCAATACGATAAGCAGGTTAGAACTTTGTTCATTTCTTTTTATCAGATTACGACCGCTACCCACCAAAGTTTGTGATTCGAAGAAAAATCTTCTTTGCTTAATGTCATTTGCGACAAAACTTAATCGACCACCTGTAATCTGGAATTCTCAACTAATGATATCTCCGTGAAGGAACGGGTTCATTGATAAAGAACATCTGATAAAGGTGCTATCATCACTCAGAACATCTCCACAGCATCATCTTTGGTTGTATAACTGTTGGATTTTTGATGGATATTTCTTTTTGAGAAAGAGAGCAACAGATCGACACTTCCAATCAAAGGCGTAAGAACCGACTTTCACTGTATATCATTTGCATTGGCCTGTTAGTCCTGTGTCAAACTTCGTGTACAGGAAACTATTATTTGTTTCAAAAAAAGGAGTGGAGAGATAGCCGACTTACTACAACTTTGTCAAGGAAGGAGGGGAGCCCGGCGTTAGTCGGGCGAACCGACTATGTGATATGCTACAACGACATAATATATTTCGAGCTCTGTTTCAGTTTCATACTCTCACTCAGCTAAAAAAACTTAAAATCTATAAATTTTGAAAAAGGGAAATAAAATTCTTCAGTTCAACATTTTGCGGTGTAGGGTGGTTGACACAAGATGGAGGAGCGCCAGGCGTTAGCCGGACGATCCGACCTGTTTATCAATACGGGCTTTACTTTGTCCCGCGGGAACTTTGCCAGTATACTTTCATACCATATTGGCTCGCACGTTTTCCGCACGTCATACCCTGCGGAAACAATTTGGTTTACTAAAACCTGAATGTTATCGAGTACATCTGAGCAGCTTTCAGCTGATGTAGTAGCAGACTTCATATTGATTAGCTTTTGCCCGATTTGCGCTCTATTCGCGGGTTTATTATGATAGTTTTTGTGTAGGGTTTCGATAATCCAGTAATAGTTGTCTGGAACTAGCCTTATGCCATTGATCGAGTTTTGAACATCCCTCACCAGACTCTCCTTGAGTAGGAGTATCTTTTCCGTGGTGTCCAAGTCGGAGCTATTATGCACAAGTGTCTCGAAAATTGCCCAGTATTCTGGGAAATCTTCAGCACTACCGTGAAATTTTGGTAGCGACACTTGCGGGGGCTTTACAGAGCGACAGGTCGTTTGTGGAATTGCTGGCGCTATATTTCCTCCTACTACAGTGTTTAGTGGGGTGCTACTTTCCGAAATAATTTCGGTATTCCTTCCCGAGTTGTCTTCTGGGTTTGCATTTATGGACTCCCTCTCTTCTACATCAAACGATTGTAGATTTGAGGCACTGTGCGAAATGTAGCCTAGATCATTGGCCATACTGTCCCGAGCCCATCTCGCCTCATCTAATCGAGCCTAGAGCATGTAACTGAGCTTGTCCGCTTCGGTTACTATCGAGTGAATATTGGACTCCTGCTCGGTTTAATCTATTTCGAACATTACCTCCTTCCTTTCGCACTTATTTTTGCATGCCTAGTGTTCCTCCCTTATCTCACTATAACGCTTTTCAGGCTTGTCTTGGCCCTCCTTAGGTAATCTTATTCCGCCTTGGAGGAGCGAAACAGTAGACTTACAATTCCGTAGGATTGTTTATCTACTGTGGGGTATTCCGATCTAGATGTGTAGGCTCCAGAACGTCTCACTGTCTGAGACGACGAGATAGTTATGGTGATCGTCGCCGTAGACGACGATAGGTGCGAAGTGTGATAAGTTTCGAGGTGATACATAGGGAAATTGAATTGACCTCCTGGCAGAAGAACTTAAACAACAAAATCAGACAAACCCTACGTGTGAGCGGTTGCGTGTTTCGCGCTACAGCACGTTTTTTGGGGTGTCTTGGCAGACTGCGGAAAGGCCTTGGTGACAGGAGATTTCCTCTTTCATAATTCTGCTAATTGGCGGTTGCGAAGCGCATTCGAACACGTTATTCTGAGGTGACTACTAATTGTAGGAAGTAACTTTCTACGATCAATGGGCTGTTAAACTATAGTTTGGTAATGTATGTGTTGTAGGGTAAAATTGAGCTTTATCAGTTAAACATGTTATCACGAATTTGTAAACTCGTACATTGTACGTAGCTCTGTTAGAATAATACCCGTAGGTTTTTATGTGTTTAATTCATTCAATCATTCGTGTCCGGTTCTGCTTTCAATAAATCTAGTAATTACTGGTGTTCCTCGACTGTACAAGAAGATATCTACAACAGCTGGCGATTATCTACAACATATGTCTCTTCTCCCGCATGTTTCCTCGTTCATGTTTCTTCCAAGGCCATTGATATGTAGTTACACTCCCCTAGTGAATGGCCACTGAACACAGTTTGGTTATGTGTTTCTATTTTGTTGCATGCTTCTTGGTTTGTGTTTCTTCTGAGACAACTGCTGAGTAATGACCTTCACTGATTGAACGTTGTAACTCGATTTAGGGGTGTGCCAACTTCTGCACGATTGAGGACCGATCTTGATTAGGTGTAAACACTATATTTTCACTGTGCTGTCTGCATAGCTTTATAGAGCGAGTGAAAGATAGAAATTAAAGAGAATGGCAACAGTAAGAATGTAAAGGATCTTGAGAAAAATTGTAAACTGGAAAAGTTTTAATGATGCTGGTTAGGGATTCTGTTTTTGTGCACAGGTGGAGGATGGAATGCGAAACCAAGCGGTATGTTTTACAGAGCTATGAGGCACGACTTTACTTTTTTTTTTATTTTGAGCAGTATCAACACTCTTAGCCAGTTGTAATGGGAAGTTTTCTACTTAGAAACCTGATTTTTTTATTAAAG